AGCAAGCAGCGGGTAAGTTTAATTGTCCGCTAATCATCGTGTTTTTTTTCAACCCCTGTAAAAGTATTCGGTCGGTAGGAAAGGAAAGATACACATATATTATATATATAGTACGACAACATAATTTAACACAAAGATATTGATTGTTACGTACCTACGTACAATTAATTGTCCGCTAACAGACATCGTGTTTTTTTTCAACCCCTGTAAAAGTATTCGGTCGTTAGGAAAGGAAAGATACACATATGTTATATATATAGTACGACAACATAATTTAACACAAAGATATTGATTGTTACGTACCTACGTACAGCCTGCACTTTCAAAATCAGCTTCGATGGGGACTGGTGGAACTACGGTAGCGTTGACTCCAAACAATAATTTGTTATAACAATGGTAGCTTTTGCAGCTGCAAGTAATTAGGGCAGATTAGATTTTGCCAATGTTTTTTCGACTCATGAACTTTTTTGGCCTTCCTTCAGCGAGATTCTTTTTCCGGAGAAAACACCATCCGTGTGTACGAAGAGAGAAAATAGAAAGTCATTGATCGTCGAGAGGCTGAGCAAATGAAACCACAAAAATCAGAGGTTATTACTTCATTCTAAAATGAAGAGGGGCACCTGGGCCCCATCTCCCGAATCTCCCGTTTCTCCCATCTTTCCCACCGACCGCAGTATATTTTACAGGGGTTGAAAAAAAGCACGATATCTGTTAGTGGACTTACCCGCTGCTTGCTCGTTACGGACTCCGTAAAGCCCCCTACCTTCTTTCAACGTACCACAATTTAGTGGACTTACCCGCTGCTTGCTCGTTACGGACTCCGTAAAGCCCCCTACCCTATTTCAACGTACCACAGCAACCCATATAGAAGAAAAGAAACATCAATGTAATGGAAAAAGCCCCTCCCCGCGAAAGAGATAAGTACCTTGAGCTCTATTTTTTGAGACCACCATAGTTCCCCCGGAGGGGTGCACCGTTCCTGGAAGTACTGCAATACCAGGTCGATGCGTGGAGTGGACGGAGCAAGCTCCTATTCCAACTCCCAGCTCCAAAAATCCATTTAATATATTGTCCTCGGATAGAGGACGTATCAGATATTAAACTGATAAGAACAGATACTACACTTGATCTTAGCCAAAAGGCCGAGAAGCGATGCCCACTAAGCCGCCCGCGCCCGTCCCGATGTCTCCACTCTCACTTGCAGCTCACGGTCGCCAACCCGCCCCGGATCCCGCTCTCTAGAGAGGCTCTCCCTCCTTCTGCCTGTGCCCCTGCCTCGGCTCCTGTGCGCGTTTCTCCTTTACCGCGGCTCCCACCGGCAATTCCACGCGCGTGCCCGGATCCCGGCATCCCCTGGGCGGACGCACCACCTTCTCATCTGCATGCTCCGCCCCCGGGGAGGCGGGGCGCTCACGCGCCAACCCCGCGCA